CAGCTACTCAGGAGGCTGAGGCAGGAGAATCACTTCAACCTGGGAGTCGGAGGTTGCAGTGAGCCAAGATTGTGCCGCTGTACTCCAGACTGGGCAACAGAGTGAGACTCTGTCACAAAAAAGAGAAAAAAAAGTCTTTCAGAACAAGATTATTCTTTACATTTCTTTAAGTTAATTTGGCTAAAAAGTACCATACCTTTATGTTTAAGATTAGTAGAGGATTAAAAAAATTATTACTACATTGACCAGCAGTAATTTAATGATAATTAATATTCTGAAACTAAAATTCCACTATGATAGGGCAAGAAAAGTGGACCCCAGAATCAAATTGTAATAATAGGGTAACAGACTCAGTAGCAGTAAGGAGTGGGCAAAAAAAAAAAAAAAAAAAAAAAAAAAAGAAAAGAAAGGAAAAGAGAAAGGGAAAAAAAGGGCAATGAAGGATTTGAAAAACAAACTAATGGGGACAGCTAGAATCAAAGTGTAGGGGAAATACATAGCCGATTCAAAGACAGGAAAGAAATGACATAAAATTCACTATTAATTGCACTATGAAATGTTAAAAGCAAAGACAAATAAAATGTGGAATATTTAGAAAAAGAAAGGTAGACATAGAGATAAGACAAAAGAATTGAAGATCGGAGAAGGAATAGGGAGATAGAAGATAATGACCCTTAAACTCATGACTTACAATGAGCAAAACAGGTTAAGTGCGAGCCGTCAGGGGGATCTGGATTTTCTTACCAAAAAGCTGAGACAGTAGCTGAATGCTTCAGCACCTGGATGTTCCCACAAGTCCTGTCTGGTCCCCAAACTTAGCCACCATGAAGTCATGAAGTATGACAAGAAAATTTGCTGAGCTTTCTCTCCTTCTTTCCTTCTCTGTTTCTGGCAACAAATTAAGCCTTATGCTCTAGACCACTATCTGACTTCACAGGAAGTGTTTCAAAGTGAGTCATTTCTAAATGACTTAGAAAGGAAAAGCAGAAAAACAGAGAAGTAGGAGGTTATAATTCTGGGACATTTTCTGCAGCACACAGAGAATGATTAGAGAGAGGGTACTTCTATACATAGGCTTCTAACTTTGTAGGTTTTGTTCAGAAATGCAAAAAAAAAAAAAAATGACTCTATGAGATGTGAGGGTTGGGTGGGGAGTGGGTGGGGAGAAATGACCCCAACAAAACCCATTTAATTAATTTCAAGTAACATCTCCTAAATGCTTGACATATGTGAAGAACGGTGCCGTGCCAAAATCGGGATGAACTAAGCTGTATTCTAATCTGCAAAGATTCACAGTCGAGGGGGAATATGCACCCAAATACACACACACAAAGCTGTAATACAACCCAGACTATAATAACAGAGGTAACAATAGAAGCAAAATAGTGAACACTCTAGGCCGGGGTATTTATAACCCAGGGCAATCTAGGAAAGTCTTAAGATAGAAATAAGATGTGGGCACGTCCTTGAGTACCCTTAAGACTTCTAGAGACAGGAAAAGGTGGCTGAGCATGGTGGCTCACGCCTGTAATCCTGGCACTTTGGGAGGCTGAGGTGGATCACTTGAGGCCAGAAGTTCAAGACCAGCCTGGCCAACCTGGTGAAGGCCTGTCTCTACTAAAAATACCAAAAATGTGCTGGGCATGATGATGGGTGCTTGTAGTCCTAGCTACTCAGGAGGCTGAGATGGGAGAATCACTTCAACCCAGGAGACAGTGTTGCAGAGAGCTGAGATGGCACCACTGCACTCCAGCCTGGGTGGCCGAGTGAGACTCCAGCTCAGAAAAAAACAAACAAAGAAAAAAGAATAAAAAAGAAAAAGGTGAAAAGCTGCTTAGCCTATAAGAGGAGCCTACTCAAAGGCAGGTAGATGGGAGAGGGCAGGTGGGTGTTCTTAGTGGGCACTGAAGAACAGGCTGGAGTCTAGGTGGTGTTTCATCAGAAAGGAGTACAGAGGACTGAAGATGGTTCTTGCTTAATGAATATGCTGTTAATAATTTTTTTAAAATTGTACTTTGGGCTCTGGGGTACATGTGCACGTCCTGTATCCTGTAGGATTGCTGCATAGGTACATACATGTCATGGTGGTTTGCTGTCTCCATCCCCCGCCCCATCACCTACATCAGGCATTCCTCCCAGTGTTCTCCCTCCTCATCCTCCCCCCTCCCCCGCTGTCCCCCCCCTCCCCTTCACCTCCCCACCTACTCCAGTGAGTGTTGTTCCCCTCCCTGTGACCAGGCGTTCTCACTGTTCGACACCTGACTATGAGTGAAAACATGCGGTGTTTGGTTTTCTGTTCTTGTGTCAGTTTGCTGAGAATGATGGTTTCTAGATTCATCCACATCTCTACACAGGACATGAATTCGTCGTTTTTTATGGCTGCATAGTATTCCATGGCGTATATGTGCCACATTTTCTTTGTCCAGTCTATCATTGATGGGCATTTGGGTTGGTTCCAGGTCTTTGCTATTCTTAAAATGACATTGATTTGCCCAGTGTTTTCCTTTTTTACATCAAGGACATACACCAGGATCCTTATGCTGCCACATGTTTGCAGTCCTCATTTTAAGATTTTATTCATTTTTTTTTTTTTTGAGACAAAGTCTTGCTCTGTCACCCAGGCCGGAGTTGCAATGGTGTGCTGTTGGCTCACTGCAATCTCTGCCTCCCGGGTTCAAGCAATTCTCCTGCCTCAGCCTCCCAAGTAGCTGGGATTACAGGTGTGCACCACCACTCCCAGCTAAATTTTATATTCTTAAGTAGAGACGGGGTTTCGCCATGTTCATCAGGCTGATCTTGAACCCCTGACCTTGTGATCTGCCCATCTCCGCCTCCCAAAGTGGTGCTGTTGCTGTTGCTGTTTAATACAATTGAGGTACATACATGTCATGGTGGTTTGCTACACGGCCTGGTTCTGCGTTCCTTTCCTCTAAGGGGCCTAAGAGCCGCCCTACAGTCAGCATTTGCGTTATCAAATGCAAGAAGTTGCATGAGCAGGTCTTGGGCGTACCTGTCCGAGACAGCCTTCTTCATTGCCTCCTGAAGTCAGGCAATAAAATCAGGGAAAGGCTCTTTTGGTCCTTGGCAGACAGAAGTGAAAAAAGGATATTTTCCCCCGGTAACATGTATGCTATCCCAAGCCCGTAAACAGACTAGGCGCAGTTGATTAACAGCCTCATCTCCCATGGCAATTTGATTATGGAGTCTGCCCCAGCCAAGGCCAGTTCCCATCAATTGATCGACAGTGACAGAGGGACGGGTGGCTGCGCCTGTGCATTCCATCTTGCTTGGGTCCTAGCCTTAAATCGTATGAACTAAGCAGGAGTAAGAACAGATTTTGCCAGCGTGTTCCAATCATATGGAACTAACCTATAATCAAAAGCCACATTTTTAGTATCTTTTGTACAAATGGTGAATTTGGGCCATATTGACTGATGGCCTGTTTAAACTCTTTTAACAACTTAAACGAAAATGTTTTTTTTTTTTTTTTTGAGATGGAGTTTCGCTCTTGTTACCCAGGCTGGAGTGCAATGGCGCGATCTCGGCTCACCGCAACCTCCGCCTCCTGGGTTCAGGCAATTCTCCTGCCTCAGCCTCCTGAGTCGCTGGGATTACAGGCACGCGCCACCATGCCCAGCTAATTTTTTGTATTTTTAGTAGAGATGGGGTTTCACCATGTTGACCAGGATGGTCTCGATCTCTTGACCTCGTGATCCACCCGCCTCGGCCTCCCAAAGTGCTGGGATTACAGGCTTGAGCCACCGCGCCCGGCCGAAAAGTTATGTTTTGACCCTGTTGTTGAGTTATGGTTACTGGACTCTGCCACGCCTCAGTATGTCCTTCAACCCTCGCCTTCCGAATAGTGGCTTCCTGAGGACTCTTAGTAGTACCCGGAGGCATTGTAGCAACTACCCAGGATGCACATTTCGCAACAGTTTCATTTTTCCTGTCTATTAAATGTGCAGGAGGAGGTGGCTATTTGCTAACCTCAGCAGGCAGAGCAGAAGGAGGAGTAAAAGATACTTGTTTCTGTTTTTCTGTCTCCTTTCTTACTTCCTCTTTCTCTAAATCCTCTGGCTCTGATTCTAAGAATAAACTTTTACATTTCTCATCCTCCTGCAACTCAGCTTCATCGTCAGTTTGAAATGGCTCAAGAGCAGTTTTAAGAAGTGCCCAAATAGACCAAACCGATATTGGGATCTTACCTCCCTCTTTGAATGCCTTTTTTTAGATCCCTGCCAGTTCTTTCCCATTTTTCCATAGTTCCTTGGACACCATGCGTAAAACTGCTCAATTGTATTAAACAGCAACAGCAAATTCTGAGTTCTTACCTCCACTCTGCACGTTTTAAGCAGTTGTCTTTTTCTTTAAATTTATTAGTTTTTAAATTGCATTTTAGGTTTTGGGGTACATGTGAAGAACATGCAATATTGTTGCATAGGTACACACATGGCAGTGTGATTTGCTGCCTCCTTCCCCATCACCTATATCTGGCATTTCTCCCCATGCTCTCTCTCCCCAAGTCCCCACACCCCACTGCCCCTCCCCTATTTCCCCCCAACTGACCCCAGTGTGTAGTGCTCCCCTCCCTGTATCCATGTGTTCTCATTGTTCAACACCCACCTATGAGTGAGAACATGCGGTGTTTGATTTTCTGCTCTTGTGTCAGTTTGCTGAGAATGATGGTTTCCAGGTTCATCCATGTCCCTACAAAGGACGTGAAGCAATCCCATTACTGGGTATATATCCAAAGGATTATAAATTGTTCTACTATAAGGACACATGCACACGAATGTTCATTGCAGCACTGTTTACAATAGCAAAGACCTGAAACCAATCCAAATGCCCATCGATGATAGACTGGACAGGGAAAATGTGGCACATGTACACCATGGAATATTATGTAACAGCTGTCTTAACAAACTCAAATAAGCCTTATGCTTACTGTCACCCCGACCTATAGTTACCTTGCTCTTCCGAAGCGCTCAGTTTACCCGAAGAGCTTCTTTGTTTAGTACTTGGGTGTCCTTCGTCAGTGTGTGCTCGGTTTTCACACACTGGAGCATTTCTTCACCTCGATCGCCCCACGTTGGGCACACAAAACATTGGGGTCCAGCCCTGACACAGGCCGTGGGGGCTCAATAATTCTTATATTATTCTTTTACACAGATGCATATAAAATAAAGTTGATTTGGGTCGAATGTATTTGAACACTGTTGTCCGTGATAAAGGCTTCAGTCCATATTAATCACCTTGTCCAACCTATAACATCTGCTCCTCCTCTTGTTAGCAGTCAAGGCACCACAGAATATTTTTGAGGCAGAAAGGCCAAAAGAAAAATGCCAAGAGTTCAGTAGTATTTCTTAGCTTATTTCCATTGTCACCATCTAATTACAAAAATAGAACATACTTTGCTCTAGAAAAGATAAATTGAAATGATACAGAAGTATAATGGGTAAAAAAATGCAAGTTTTTTTTTTTCAATTCTATTGCCAGAAGTAATTATTTTTAATAGGTTAGTGTTCATTCTTTATGAATTTTTTTCTGAATATAGCACACATTTTATTTGTTTGTTTGTTTGAGACAGGGCCTCACTCTGTCACCCAGGCTGGCGTGCAGTGGCATGATCTTGGCTCACTGCAACCTTTGCCTCCTAGGTTCAAGCAATTCTCCCACCTCAGCTCCTTAGTAGCTGGCACTATGAGCATGTGCCACCACACCTGGCTAAATTTTGTATTTTTTGATAGAGACAGGGTTTTGCCATGTTGGGCAGGCTGGTCTTGACCTCCTGACCTCAAGTCATCTCTCTACTTTTGCCTCCCAAAGTGCTGGGATTATAGGTGTGAGCCACTGCACCCAGCCTAACACACATTTTTTTAAAAGGTAGTTTTGAACAAAAATGAGATTGCAATTTATGTGTGATTTTATGACTTGCCTTTTTACTTAACAATATATCAAAACATATTTCCATGTTAGTGCATATAATTCTATTATTTTGGGTTTTATTTCCTCCAATATTTGGAAATATTGAAAAAATATATTCAGAAAGCATATAAAA